AAAACAACAACAATGCTATATTTGCAACAATAATCCCAATAATTCATGAAAACTTTAACACAGGTTTACATGCTTTGTTTGAAAAGGCAAGGAAAAATTTGTATATTTAGAAGGCTCTCCGTTTAAAATAGTGAAAAATTATAAATATCACTGTGTTTAAAAGAGAAAACCCTCAACACACAGAAACACTGTCACTCACAAAGGGATCCTGTGAGCAGCAGTTTTATTGTATTCTCCCTGCTCCGCAGATAGCAATATACTTAGAGGTCCCAGGAAATCATGTCTAAATATTAGTATAATCACTCATTTCCAAAAATAAATGCAAGTAGAAAAATAAGGACAACTACTAATAACTAAAATGAAACTGGAACACTGTGGTTCTCTGGGCTATGATAAATGGAAGATCACCTTGCAATATAATTCATTTTTAATTGCCCATTCCATCTAATCTAACTACTGCTGTAGGCTGTCTTAAAATATTTACAAAGTAAAAGCAAAAAAGGATGGGAGGTGTTAAATGAAGCAGGCCAACATTCGTAAGTGGTCAATTTCTCTGGTATTGTTCACAACAAAAACGGTCATAACTCTTACCCACTGAATTTTTGGAAACATATAGATAAAGTATATTTAAGGACTATCTCTCTTAGTATTAAAGCTGTTTTTCATTCACCTTCTTCCCTGCCTTAGTTATGGAATACTTACTCTATCCAAATAACCTGGTACAGTAAAAGAAAACAGTTGTATTAAAACACTAGAAAGACCAATATTATAGTTCTTTACCTTTAACTATGTATGTAGTTCTATATTTGCTGTTGTTGTTAGGTGCCATCCAGTCAGTTACGACTCATAGCAACCCTACGTACAATAGAGCTAAACATTGCCCAGTCCTGTGCCACCCTCACAATCATTGTTATGTTTGAGCCCACTGTTGCACCCACTGTGTCAATCCATCTTGTTGAGGGTCTTCTTTTTCGCTGACCCTCTACTTTACAAAGCATGACGTCCTTTTCCAGGGACTGATCCCTCCTGATAACATGTCCAAAGTATGTAAGACAGAGTCTCACCATCCTTGCTTCTAGGGAGGATTCTGTTTTGTACTTCTTCCAAGACAGATTTGTTCATTCTCTTGGCAGTCCATGGTATATTCAATATTCTTCACCAACATCACAATTCAAAGGCGTCAATTATTCTTCAGTCTTTCTTATTCCTTGTCCAGCTTTCGCAGGCATATGAGGCAATTGAAAATACCATGGCTTGAGTTAGGTGCAGCTTACTCTTCAAGGTGACGTCTTTGCTTTTTAACACTTTAAAGAGATCTTTTTGCAGCAGATTGGCCCAATGCAATGTGTCCTTTGATTTCTTGACTGCTGCTTCCATGCGTGTTGATTATGGATCCAAGTAAAACGAAATCCTTGATGACTTCAATCTTTTCTCCGTTTCTCATGATGTTGCTTATTGGTCTACTTCTGAGGATTTTTTTTTTTTTTTATGTTGAGGTGTAATCCATACTGAAGGCTGTGGTCTTTGGTCTTCATTAGTAAGTGCTTCAAGTCTCTTCACTCTCAGCAAGCAAGGCTGTGTATCTGCATAAAACAGGTTGTTAAGGAGTCTTCCCCCAAACCTGATACCCCATTCTTATTCATATACTATAGCATACAGACTGAATAAGTATGGTGAAAGGATACAACCCTGACACACACCTTTCCTAACTTTAAACCACACAGAATAGCTTGTTCTTTTCAAACGACTGCCTCTTGACCTATGTACAGGTTCCTCATGAGCACAATTAAGTGTTCTGGAATTCCCATTCTTTGCAGTGCTATCCATAATTTGTTATGATCCATACAGTCCAATACCTTTGCAAGTCAATAAAACACAGGTAAACATCTTTATGGTATTCTCTGCTTTCAGTCAAGATCCATCTGACATCAGTAATGATATCCCTGGTTACAAGTCCTCCTCTGAATCCGGCTTGAATTTCTGGCAGTCTCCTGTCAATGTACTGCTGCAACCGCTTTTGAATCATCTTCAGCAAAATTTTACTTGCATGTGATATTAATGATATTGTTTGATAATTTCCGCATTCAGTTGGATCACCTTTGGAATAGGCACAAATATGGATCTCTTCCAGTCTGTTGGCTAGGTAGCTGTCTTCCAAATTTCTTGGTATAGACGAGTGAGCACTTCCAGCGCTGTATACATTTGTTGAAACATCTCAAGTGGTATTCCACCAATTCATGAAGCCTTGTTTTTCACCAATGCCTTCAGTGCAGCACGGACCTCTTCTTTTATTACCATCGGTTCATGGTCATATGCTACCTTCTGAAATGGTTGAATGCCGAAACCAATTCCGGTATAGTGACCCTGTGTATTCCTTCCATCTTCTTTTGATGCTTCCTGCGTCGTTTAATATTTTCCCTATAGACTCTTCAATATTGCAACTCGAGGCTTGAATTTTTTTCTTCAGTTCTTTCAGCTTGAGAAGTGCTGGGCGTATTCTTCCCTTCTGGTTTTCTAACTCCAGGTCCTTGCACATGTCATTATGATACTTGATTTTGTCTTCCCAAGCTGCCTTTTGAAATCTTCTTTTCAGCTCTTTACTTCATCATTTCTTCCATTCACTTTAGCTACTTGATGTTCAAGAGCAAGTTTCAGAGTCTCTTCTGACATCCCTTTTGTTCTTTTCTTTCTTTCCTGTCTTTTTAATGACCTCTTGCTTTCTTCATCTATGATGTCCTTGATGTCATTCCACAACTTGTCTGATCTTCAGTCAATAGTGTTCAGTGCGTCACATCTATTCTTGAGATGGTCTCTAATTTCAGTAGGATATACTCAAGGTTGTACTTTGGCTCTCATGAACTTCTTCTAATTTTCTTCAGCTTTGACTTGAGCTTGCATAAGAGCAATAAATGGCCCGTTCCACAGTCGGTCCCTGGCCTTGTTCTGACTGATGATATTTAGCTTTTCCATCATCTCTTTCCACAGACACAGTCGTTTTGATTCCTGTGCAGTCCATCTGGCAAGGTCCACGTGTATAGTCACGTTTAAGTTGTTGAAAAAAGGTATTTGCAACGAAGAAGTCTTGCAAAATTCTACATGCGATCTCCCATACCATTTCTATCACCAAGGCCGTGTTTTCCAACTACTGATCCTTTTTCTTTGTTTCCAACTTTCACATTCCAATCACCAGTAATTATCAATGCATTCTGATTGCATGTTTGTTCAATTTCAGACTGCAGAAGTTGATAAAAATCTTCAATTTCTTCATCTTTGGCCTTAGTGGTTGGTGCATAAATTTGTATAACAGTTGCATCAACTTGTCTTTTCCTGTAGGCGTATGGATATTATCCTATCACTGACAGTGTTGCACTTCAGGTTAGATTTTGAAATGTTCTTTTTGATGGTGAATGCAATGTCATTACTCTTCAAGTTGTCATTCTCAGCATAGTAGACTATACGATTGTCTGATTCAAAATGGTCAATACCAGTCCATTTCAGCTCACTAGTGCCTAGGATATTGATGTTTATATGTTCCATTTCATTTTTGATGATTTCCAATTATTCTGGATTCATACATGGATGCTTGCAGCTGTTTCTTCTCATTTTGAATTGTGCCACATCAGCAAATGAAGGTCCCGAAAGCTTAACTCCATCCATGTCACGAAGGTCAACCCTACTTTAAGGAGACAGCTCTTCCCCAGTCGTCTTTGAGTGCTTTCCAATCTGTGGGGCTCATCTTCTGGCTCTATGTCAGACAATGTTTCACTGCTACTCATAAGGTTTTCGCTGGGTAATTGTTTTCAGAAGCAGACCGCCAGGTCCTCCTTCCTAGTCTGTGTTAGTCTGGAAGCTCAGCTGAAACCTGTCACAGTGACCCTGCTGGTATTTGAATACCGGTGGCACAGCTTCCAGCATCAGAACAACACGCAAGCCCCCACAGCACAACAAACTGACAGATGCATGGGGGTTATATTTGCTACTGTGGTCTTATTCCTTCCAGTATCCTAGGCATGTCTAGCTACACATTCAAACTGACACACTGACATACTGATCTCATAATTCTCCTCTTTTAGTTTTTAAAAATCTGTTTTAGAGATGCTACCTAAACATAACATTTAAAAAAATGTATAAAACATCTCCACATCAAATTATTACTCTATGTTTAGTCACACTTGATAACCAGTAATATATACCATAAAGTATTCTAATATTATCCATCTTACGCACTGCAAAATGTGTTTAGGTATCAAATTAGCTTTCAGGCAGTCAGCATTTGAATATATAAAGATGTGAGTGAAATCATAATTTCACTCAGACACGGGCATTCCCAGTACTATGCATGAAGTAGACACTTTTTTACTGATAATGAACATAAATATGCAAACTTAAAGAGATGCTAACTACTGTTTACAGTTTCTAAATCCTAGGTGTTCGAGTGACAGAAAAATCTCCCTTATAAACACCTATGCTATTTTAGACTGTTTCAAATAGACTGACGAGATAGAGTAGTGGAAAGGAAAGATAATAAACTAGTTGAGGCCCCAAATACACATCGCTCATTGCAGGGGCCTAGCCTTGGGTCCAACTTTGTCTGATTCTCAGCTGATGTGTTCCAGACAAATAGCACATTTTTATACATTAGGGATAATATTACCCAATATAAATACCTAAGGGTTCCTTACCATCAGAGCACTACCAAAAGGATTCTAGGAAATACAGAGAGGTATTAGAAACTCACAACACATAAAAGAATAAATGGCAAGGTTTAGACTTATTCAAAGAAAAACATCATTGTAGAAATTCCATTCAAGTAGATACTGTATAAATATACATTCCATACTAAGTATGATAATATCAACTTAGTACACCACGATAGTAAGAAAAATCATAAAAATGTACTCCTAATAGTCATGTATTTGGCATGGTTCCATCAGAAAGCCAAAGCAATCAAATTGTCCACTTGACAATATACATTTACCTGCCAGGGTCTTAAGAGTTACCTTTGTTTTAGATTGATCCATGATGATTTTAAGTACTCAGTGGTTTCCTTCACATTCCTTGTGTCATCATTGCCATATTCCTCCAGCAGTTTCTGCAGGACATTGTCGAAAGCCATTACGATACCATCACCCAGGCCCAGTTCCTGAAGCAATATCTAGGATACAATTTCAGGTGTAATTGTTAGAGTTACTTGCTCAGGAACTAATATTACCAGAACACTGGTACTTCCGGTGAGTGTGTGGTGGGGGGTGGGGTAATTAACAGGTTTTAGACAGAGATATTGAAAGAAAGAAAACAAATCATGGGACAAATTCTTGTATGTACACTAAACCATAATAATTCTAGGAAGTGAAAAGGAAATGTCTAAAAAAAAGTGATCAGGTACACTGATGATATTAAAAGATGATCACGTTTTCCTTTTGAGATATTTTACATCATCAAATCATTTGTCTTTTCCACTCCTTCTGTTAAACATCTCTTCCTTACAGAAAGTTCATTCAATTAGAAATAAACTTACTATTAGTTGTTGTCATTAGTTGCCACTGAGTCAGCACCGACTCATGGCGATCTTTTGTATAACAGAACAAAACTCTGGTCCTGTGCCATCTTCATGATTTTTGGTAGGTTTGAGTTCATTGCTGCAGATATTGTAGTGACTTCCAATCTAGGAGCTCATCTTCCGGCACTAAACTGAACAATGTTCTATTGTGATCTATAGGGTTTCCATTGACTAATTTGAAATCAGAAATAGATTTCCAGAATTTTCTTCCTATTCTGTCTTAGTCTGGAAGCTCCACTGAAACCTGTCCACCATGGGTGACCCTACTGGAATTTGACATACTGGTGATATAGCTTCCAGCATCATAGCAACATGCAAGCCACCACAGTACAACAAACTGACAGACAGGTGGTAGAAGTAATCAACTATGTGTTATGAAATAGAGACAACTGGAAATATCTTCCCTACCACTTGTAATTGCAATTCTATCACAGGATATTCCTATATTTGGATTTATAATTGTTTTTATTTGGTAAAGCCTACTATAAAAAGATAAACACTATTTAGTGGGCTATTATCCAATGTTGGTATCAGCTAACATTCAAAGGAGATTGCTCTCCATCTAGTTCTTTAACCGAAAGAAGAAATTAAAACAAGTCCCAGAAGGACTGAGAACCAGAAGAACAAAAGGCTCTAAAGGGAAAGTGAGAGGGTTATCGAGATTAGCATACAGCCCCTTCTTTGGGATCCTCCCTGATAATCTGACAGAGAGGTGGTAGGAACTTACTGTAGAGTTCCTCTATATGTGCTTGGAGAAACGGGAAGGGCTGACAACAGGGAAGTCTTCCATCCATTGTCCCTGAATCACTGTGTATGTTTACAAAGTTAACTGCTGAGATGGATCAAGCAGCCAGGCAGCTTTACTAAGAGTTAGTTTGAATAGCTAAACCGAGGCTGAGTATGTTGGTAGGTGTTGGTTCCTTGATACATGTCTTCAATCTCTGAGTCACTGGATCAGGATACTCCCCCTGAAATCTAATCTACAAGAGACTATTCCTATAATGCTTTTCTGTAGCAACTGGCAGAAGAATTCACCCTAATGTTTCCAAAAATAAGAACTATACTGTTGATTAGAAAAGAATATTCTGAATATGGTCATTTAAACTTTGATACCACTTTTGATTATATTCTCAAGTTAAGTCTCCAGGGGCTTTGCTGACTATTAGTTTTTAGTTATTTAATGAAAACAGTCAGCAGGTTTCATAAACACAGAGAATGATCCAGGAAACCAGCATACCTGGCCACGTGCTTTTTAAATTGCAAACATGGAAAGTTTATATTTGTGGAGAATAGTAACATGTTCAGGATTTTTTTGTTTCAGATATTCTTTATTATATTCTCCAAAAACGAACACTTTCATCTTAGGGTATCCAAAGGGCATATAACTACTTTATACTAAAATATAACATAACAACCATAACTTTCAATTCAAGAATATTTTCTAAAACTGTAGAGAATTTAAAATAGCACTTTAAAAACACCTTAATTGTTTCACATGTCAACTCTATAATTAAACCAATCACAAAAAAGGTACCTGCCATTATCTTATTGAATAAAATGGCTTGGTAAGAAAGGTATTAAAAACAATTAAACTAATTACCTGATTTGTTCACTACAGTAGCCCTGGAATGAAAGTCTCAGAAATTTTTATAAATAAAAAGAGTCTTCAGGATAGGCAAGGAGGGGAGTAAATTGAGGGTTCCAGAGATGCTGATAATGTTCTCTTTCTAGATGTTGGTTGCACAGGTGTGTTCAGTTTGCAAAAAAATCAGCAAGCTAAACATTTAATATGTATGCACAACTCTGTGTGTTATACCTCCAAATTTTTTTCAAATAATCTTGGTCAAATACTTCACATAAATTTCAATATGTATTCTAAGAACTTGGGAAAACATCATGCCAGGTTCTTAAAAATTATAGTTAACAAAAGGAAAAAAAGAAAAATGTACATCCAACCAAATGATATTACCAGAAAATATCTAATGAGTCTTACCTGGTTATCAGAAATCTGTTTGATAAGTGGATCCCTGCGGGCTTGCTGAAGAATATAGAGCTGAGCCTCATACTTCCTCATAAGCTCCTCCATCTCTTCCCGGTGGTCATCCCACTGCAGACTATCCATGATCATGTCCTCCAGTTGCTGCTGCCGGGACTGCACGCCATGCTGAGTGCTGTCCCACTGGCTCTGGACCTTTTCCACTGTGGGGAGGGGGGAAAGAGTATGAAAAATAAATCTCAAAAATAAATACCAGGAAAGGAAAAATAACTGACTATCAAACTTACCATAAGTAAGCCTATAAATACAAAAGAGAAAGCTGGTAAGTTGACACATACATTTTAAAGGAATTCTGAGGCATGTCTGCCACACTATACAAACTGATACATTTCTGAACCCTTGCTTGAGAGAAAAATCTTAGACTGAACTCTATTTTAAATGCACTAAAACATCTCACAATAAAATGATCTGCCACTGTAAACTGAGAAAGCAAAAGAAAAATTACAAAGAAAATCATTTCCTACCTACTTTTTTTATGTATCAAATCTAGTTTGATGAAGATAGAGTTAAGAGTACTTTATGACAGACTTTAAGATGTAGACATAGTCATCTGTCATCCTAAAAGAAGATTCTCTAAGGCAGTCTTGATTTAAAAGAAAAAACAAACTAAGAATACTTTTCACATTTGCTTTACTCTAACATGAAACCTTTCTAAAAGCAAAAGTATTTTATAATTCAAACCCAAGAGAAACACTAAAGAAACGCAGATTCTATGTAGTCAGCAGTTTTTCACTATAAAAATTCAATAATATCTTTTCCTCCCTGCTTCTTTCCCTCACCCCCTTTCTCCTCTCCTCTCTTTTCTCTACTTTTCACATGAAGAAAATGACAGACAGAGCTGAAGAAATGTAAACTGTTGATTAATTACTTAAGGGGCAATTCCGGATCTTCTAATGCATCAGTAAACAATAACTTTGAATATGTGCAAGAATCCATTGATAATAAGAAGATGGAAGATTAAAAATAGCTGCTAGACAATGCAGAAAGGAAGAAATGATGAAGTAAAAGAGCTGAACAGAAGATTTCAAATGGCGGCTCGAGAAGACAACGTAAAGTATTATAACAACACGTGTAAAGAGCTGGAGATAGAAAACCAAAAGAGAAGAACAAACTCTGCATTTCTCAAGCTGAAAGAACTGAAGAACAAATTCAAGCCTCGAGTGGCAATATTGAAGGATGCTACTGGGAAAATATTAGACGACGTAGGAAGCATCAAAAGAAGATGGAAAGAATACACAGATTCCCTATACCAAAAAGAATTGGTTGCATATCATCAGGAACCAATGGTACTGAAGGAACAGGTCCAAGCTTCACGGAAGGCACTGGCAAAAAAACAAGGCTCTGAGAACTGACGGAATACCAATTGAGATGTTCCGACAAACGGATGCAGTGCTGCAAGTGCTCACTTGTCTATGCCAAAAAATTTGGAAGACAGCTACCTGGCCAACCGACTGGAAGAGATCCATATTTATTTTATACCTATTCCAAAGAAAGGTGATCCAACAGAATGAGGAAATTATCAAACAATATCATCAATATCACACACAAGTAAAATTTGGTTGAAGATCATTCAAAAGCAGCTGCAGCAGAACATCGATAGGGAACTGCCGGAAATTCAAGCCAGATTCGGAAGAGGACTTGGAACCAGAAATATCATTACTGATGTCAGATGGATCCTGGCTGAAAGCAGAGAATACCAGAAAGATGTTTACCTGTGTTTATTGACTATGCAAAGGCATTCGACTGTGTGGATCATAACAAATTATGGATAACATTGCAAAGAATGGGAATTCCAAACACTTAATTGTGCTCATGAGGAACCTGTACATAGGTCAAGAGGCAGTCGTTAGAACAGAACAAGGGGATACTGCATGGATAAAGTCAGAAAGGTATGTGTCAGGGTTGTATCCTTTCCCCATACTTATTCAACCTATATGCTGAGCAAATAATCCAAAAGGCTAGACTATATGAAGAAGAATGGGGCATCAGGATTGGAGGAAGACTCATTAACAACCTGCGTTATGCAGATGACACAACCTTGCTTGCTGAAAGTGAAGAGGACTTGAAGCACTTACTGATAAAAATCAGAAACTACAGCCTTCAGTGTGGATTACACCTCAACATAAAGAAAACCAAAATCCTCACAAGTGGACCAATAAGCAACATCATGATAAACGGAGAAAAGATTGAAATTGTTAAGGATTTCATTTTACTTGGATTCACAATCAACACCCACAGAAACAGCAGTAATCAAAGGATGCACTGCATTGGGCAAATCTGCTGCAAAAGACCTCTTTAAAGTGTTAAAAAGCCAAGATGTCACCTTGAAGATTAAGGTGCGCCTGACCCTAGCCATGGTGTTTTCAATTGCCCCATATGCATGCAAAAGCTGGACAATGAATAAGGAAGACTGAAGAAGAATTGACGCCTCTGAATTATGGTGTTGGTGAAGAATACTGAATATGCCATGGACTGCCAAAAGAACGAACAAATCTGTCTTAGAAGAAATACAACCAGAATGCTCCTTAGAAGTAAGGATTGCGAGACTATGTCTCACATACTTTGGACATGTTATCAGGAGGGACCAGTCCCTGGAGAAGGACATTAGGCTTGGTAAAGTAGAGGGTCAGCAAAAAAAGAGGAAGACCCTCGACCAGATGGACTGACACAGTGGCTGCAACAATGGGCTCAAGCGTAACAACAATTGTGAGGATGGTGCAGAACCAGGCAGTGTTTCATTCCATTGTACATAGGGTCTCTATGAGTTGAACCTGACTCGACAGCATCTAACAACAAGATGTTTAGATGCAGAATAGACTGAAGTACTGCAGTTAAGGACTCGGCCCAAAAGAACTACAATATAACTTTCTAATTCAGTTAAAAAGGGACATTTTGGTAACAATCTAGGGACAATATAGGATTATATTAGACCATAACACGATTGGTGTAATATTGTTCAGAAAACTGTAATTATACTTATGTGTATAAATTCTTAAAAATTGTTCAATGAAATTATCTACTTTATGTTATCTTGGTGAATTCTTTAAATAAACTGCTTAAGTTTTAACTTAAAAAAAGAGAAGACTAAACTATCAAAATTATCTACTTGCCAGTGGAAAAAAAATGACATAGAATACTTATGGCCATCTAGAACTTAATAGAATCATTTAGTATCGAACAAATAAAACGAAAGACATCAAACAACAGCAAATATCAGAAGAGGCTTATCATAAAAAAGCAAATTATCCAAATCACTATGAGTAAGTGCTAAAAACAAGTGACACAGTAGTACACCCCAGCAAGCATGGTTTTACATATATTGAGTAAGGACTATATCTATGTAATCTGTACATACACAGACACAGAAAGAAAAAACAAATACAGGCGAGAAAACAACAGAGAGAGAACTGAATTGGAAAGGGAAAATATTCAGGAGAAGGGAAGTCTTGTATAACACCTTAAAAGAAGTGTTGGACAAACAGAAAGACGATGGGAGAAAATAAAAGATCCAGAAGAAAAGAGCAAAACAGTGATGGCTTTGTAAATAGTCTGGCATCATTAAAGCAGAGATACCCCCTTGCTGCGCGGGGAGAAACGGAATTGCTCCAGAGTTTCCTAATAGGCACAGTCAATCAAGTAACAAAAAGAGGGAGAAAGACGAAAAATGCCTTATTTAGTAAAAATAAACCAAAAATTTCAGATGCTAAAAGTTCTTTGCTAACTTATCTCATATAATAATCTTGCTGCTACCACATCTATTGTGCTATCTAAATACGGGGGAATAGCTGACTTTCTTGCCTTCAGAAAGGTTACAAATATTACCCACAAATATTTATTCTTCCAGTTTTCACTCTGCCACAAATATTTATTAAGTAACTAATTTGTACAAAGCACTGTGGAAGGTCCTAGGGACAGGAAGGTGAATATTAACAGCCAATGGAGGGGACAGACAATTAAAGTAGCTATGAGATTTACAATGGAGTTACAGGAAAAAAAAATCAGCAAGTTCACAGCAGGGACTAAAGATAGAAAATTCAGTTTGCCAGGGACCGGAAGAGGGTGGCGGAAACTCCACACAGGGGGTGACATTTTAGCTGCTGGAAAGAAATAACGCAGAGAAAGGTAAGAAGGCCAGGAAATGTCAGGACATTTTAAAGAGTAGATATGGTGCAGAACAGTTACAGATGGGGCCAAGGGCTATAGTGAGAGAGAAGATGATGAAAGCAAGTCGGGGGGGATTGTGACAGTTCCTAACTGCCACTCTTGAGAGGTCAGACTTTGTTTTGTACACTACACAGATTTCACAGACACTCAGGGATCTTTGTTGTTATTGTTTCAATTATCTATTTTTTGTTTGCTTTATTTTGTTATTAACCAACCAAAAACAACCCAAACACACTGCAGTCAAGTGGATTCCAATTCATAATGACCCTACAGGACAGAGTAGAACTACTCATAGGGTTTCCAAGGCAGTAAATCTTTATGGAAGCAGACTGCCACATCTTTCTCCTGTGGAGCAGCTTGTGGGTTCGAACTGCAGACCTTTCTGTTAGCAATCAAGCACTTTAACCACTGTGCAACCAGAGCTCCTTGTTGTTAACTAAAGTATCCCCACATTAATGCCAGGCATACAGGCATGCAGTAGTTGTTCAATAAACATCTGTGGAATGAATCAATGAATTTTGAGACTATGAGTTGAAGGACACGGTAAGATCAGGTTGTGGCGAAAAAATCAGAACAGAAGAATGGATTTGCATTCCTGTGAGTTTCTTTAACTTTTGTTTCTTTGGTTCCTTTAAAACAAATTCTAACTTAGGAGAAAAAAAATCCAGTGTATAAGTAACTACTTAAAAATAATGATGCTAACACTTCAAGAAATTCACAAGGGAATTGTCACAATGTTCACAAAAAATAAAACATCTGAAAATAAGAGAAAGTCATTGTTTAAAATTAAGAGTATGAAATAATATTAATTTTTAATTGAATAGTCTTTGAAAATGTGTGTTCCCATTTTCAGAGAAAGTGGACTATGATGTGGTTTAGTTTGCTTGTTTGTTTAACTTACATTTTTCTGTGATGGCTGTTCTCACATCAGAACTGGAAGCTTTATTTTTCAAATTCTGTGCCAATGTAAAAACATAATCCAGTTGAGGACGGCGCTGTTCCAAGTCAGCTTTTGTGATCTGTTAAGAAGAAATGTTTATTGAGATTATATCAATAAGCCATAGGACAAGAATACTAAGCAAAATTTGCACTGCTGACATCAAAATTATCATGGTTTTGGCCATTATCGTTGTTGTTTTCCTCCTATTAGCTACAGTGAGGCATTAGCAATGTGGCCCAGAAAGAGTGTGTGCTTTAGAGCCTGAAGTACTGAGATCAAATCTCAGCTCTCTCATGTATCACCTGGTCACAGGTGAAGTACTTCACCACACTGTGTTTCAGTTTTCTCAAGAAGAAACAATACTCCCAGCTCACATATATCAAGTCTGAGGAAAATATATGATGAAAATCACTTTTAAAACTAAAAAATACTCTGAGGACATAAGTAGTTATTGTGGCTGCTGATGGCCTGAATACTTGTTCCACATCAGCTATGAACGCAAACTAATACCCCCTCTGTGGACTGGTATAAAACAAAACAAAACAAATCCACTGCTGTCGAGTTGATTCCAACTCATAGCAACCCTATAGGTCACAATAGAACTGTCCCATAGGGTTTCCAAGGAGCAGCTGGTGGATTCAAATTGCCAATCTTTTAGTTAGCAGCCGAGCTCTTAAACACTATGTCACCAGGGCTCCAGGGACTGGTATTAGCTATCAGAAAAGTGCTCATTTGAATAAGTCCAAATCACATGATCTTAGACATGAAAAACTGACACTTTAGATATTTTGTGTCTCTTAGTACTGGATAACGAATGGAAGAACTGTCAACAGTATCAGGAAAACAGTGTGTTTTAAGTAAAGAGCTAATAAACAGCCATAAAGATTAGAAAACCCAATTTACAGTAAACACAAATGGTGTTGCAAAGATTCTCTTCACAGTCCTTCCTCGTTATGAATTCTCTAATTTTGTAGACTCTAGTCACTCATAACAGTTTCAAGTATTATCTGTAAATGGATTATTCACAACTTCCAATCCTGAATCCCAGGGCTACATCTCAATGAATGCTACTCACTTCCTTCTAAATGGCAAAAGGGCTCCTCAACACAACCTGTCCAAAACGAAACCACCCAAACACTCTTATCCACACTCTATTCCTTCTAGTCCCCATTTCCACTAGCAGCAACAGCACCATCTTAGTCACTCAGAGAGGGCTCTTCTTGCTGTAAGTATCTTGCCCCCCACCAAGTCCATCCATATGCACTATTGCCAGAGCATTGTTATCATTCGTCTCCAGATCAAATTAAAACAAACAAACAAAAAAATGAAAAGAAAATAAAAAAGATGATTGCCAATTGTTTACAGACTAAAGTCCAAAAGGCTTTGCGTGGTTTACAACTCCTTCACAAAGTGAACCTGAGCTGTTTTCCTGGCTTGGTTCTCATTAGACTTCCTTATTGCCCAAATGTTGAACCTAACATCCCTCACACTTCCCCCAACTTGTGTCTTTATTCACTCCATTCCCTATACCAAGAATGCCATTCACTCATCTCCAGAAGTAATTCTCTTCCTCATTTTAACTGCCCTAACACCTTGCCTATGGCTTCTATTACATTCTGCCTCACTACAGCAACCCATCTACTTACAGGAGCTCAGCGCCTCTGCCCAGTGTTAGTTATGTGTAATCTGGGGATAAAAGCAGTACCTGCCTCACAAGACTGTTGAACAAGTGAATGAGACAATACATGCAAAACCCTTAGAAAAATGCCCAGCACACAGTAAACAATAAAGTTAGTATAGCTCCTATTATTATCTTACTGTGCACTCCCAATTTCTATCTTTTCAGTATCCGCATACCATACACAGCCCAGAACCTAGCATACACTACATGAAATAAGAGCTTTACAAATTAATAGTCAATGACACATGTATAATATTCAATTACAGTCGGGAGATTTCTAATTAAACATATAAGCACAAGACTCGGGTTTGATTCCTAATCAATGCGCCTCATGTGCAGCTACCACCCATCTGCCAGTGGAGGCTTGTGTGTTGCTGTGATGATGAACAGATTTCAAGAGATGTTCTAGACTAAGACAAACTAGGAAAAAAGGCCTGGCAAGCTACTTCCAAAAATCAGCCAGTTAAAACCCCATGGATCACACTGGTCTGATGTCATTGTACAGAGTCCCCATCAGTCTGGTGCTGACTCAACACCAGCTACCAACGGAAACACCAAGCCTGTGGCTAAGATGATACAAATTAACAAATAAGTTCTTTATGAAATAGGCGTATAAGTTGAAAAGGCACTTCAGGAAATTATCCTACATCACACTTAAGGTTAACTGTAACACTAGTTTACATTTACACTAATGTACCTAGCTTTAGGGCATCAGTTGAGCTTTTAAAAATACAGAGTCTACAGCTTAAGGTGGTAAATCCATCTGATCTTACCACCACAGTACAAATGCAAGAAAAACTTTATTCTTCAGGGTTAGCCCAGACGGCTGTTTAAAAGAAAAAAAAAATTAAACCTCATTCTTTCATAGTTTAGAATAGACAAAAGGGATCCATATTGATCTTGTCTCTCTCTCTCTGTGTTACAGAGCTTCCACACGAGGCTTTACACTATGCACCTACTTTCATTCTGGAAACTGTCTTATTGATCTCTTCTATATCCCCGACAGTGACAATGTTGGACTTCAGCATCTGGTCAATCAATACCAGCCAGTCAGCTAGTTCTGTTATAGTTTTATCCAGATCAGCAGGAATTGAAATTTCTGAAGTCCGATGAGACTGAACAGGAATATCTGGCGTAGATGATACTAGCACCACCTTTTGGACACTAGGAGGAGCTGAAATAAAAAATACAGCAAAATATTAACAAAGCAACAGGATATTTTGATTGTGGGGGTGCAATGGTGATATATGTGTGTATTTAAGTAAAATTAAGTAAAAAAAACTGAAGTTTTTTATTTTTCCACAATGAAATGGCTATGGTATTTCCTGTAGTATCTATGTCTTTAGTAGCCAGAAAGCCAATAAACAAAAAATCTCACAATATCCTCGGGCAGCAATATAGCAGAAGTAACAAACACTGATAATTTCTACAAAGAGAAATTAAAATAAAATATGCAATAGGTCAACCATGAGAAAATTAGGAGTGTTACTTTATTTTTTTAATTTTTTTTCTTAATTATGAAGCCAACTTACTCATAATTTTCTATTCTATTTTCATTTTCCTTTATAACATGAGCATTATTCATTCTTAGGAAACAGCACTGTGAATACCTATTAATATTCCATGGATATGTTCACTAACTTTTATTGAACCCTTTTCATAAGCCTGATATCTAGCTTGCTTCTGAAATATTGTTTTAAAAAAAAACTTGCAAGGAGTATCTTTTTGTATTTTTGCATATTTCTGATCGCTACCTTAGTATAAATTTCTCAAAGTGGTATTACTGGGTCAGAAAATATTTTAAAAATGAATGTTTTTAATAGTCACTGCCAAATTGCTTTCCCTAAAAGTTGTACCAATTTAGATTTCCAGCAGTAGCATGTGAAACTGATAAACATCCTGCATCTACACCAACAATATTCTATCTCGATGGATAAACACACATTTTTCACTACTGTTTTCACTTAACGGTTTTTGATTAGTAGAAAAGGTGAATATTTTTCACGTTTATTAACCAAATAAGGTATAATTTTTAACTGTCTGCATTCTTTATCTGCTTCCTTATTAATTTAGATTAACTCTTATACAGAAAGATAAACACGTGCCATATTGCTGAAAACAACTTGGGAATTTTTTAATGTGGCGTTTTCTTTTTCACATATAGATGTTCACAAACTTGGAGTGATCAAATCCATAAATCTGCATTTGGAGATTGTTCCCCTAGGACTTTCAAGTTAGAAACTCTTGTCTTCTCCAATGATTTGATGACCTTTTTTTTTCTTTAGGTTTTTTTGGTTTTTTGTTTGCTTATTTGTTAATAAAGGGAGGCTGTTGTTTTTCTTTTGTCTTGATACAAGACATAGTTAATTTTATATCCACCTGGAATCTACTTTGGCATACAGTATATAAGGTGAGGCTAAAACAGTTTTCTAAACACATAAGTCAGTCCATAAATTCAGTGCAATTCTAATTAAAATCTCAACAGGTATGTGTATATGTAACTAGACAAACACATATATTCAAATTTCTGATTTTAAAATTAATATAGAAGAGCAACGGGCCAATAACAGTAAAAAAAAAAAAAAAAATCCATTTTTGGTAGAGAAATATACCCTACCAAATATGACACTGCATTCCTTAGTTGTGATAATTAAATGGCTACATTACGAACCCAGACAGTCCAACCTGACACTTGGCAGAGGCACATCGTAGATCAGTTGAGGAAGAATCTACTGTTCAATAAATGATACTGGGAAAAGTGGTGACTCATGGCGGGAGGGGGGAGTCGATGGAACAGATTTTGACCTCACACTCACCATGCAAAAATTAGTTCTTGTGGGATTAAAGACCCACACATAAAATACCAAAATTGTAACAATGCTAGTAGAAAATATGGAAGAATTTTTTTATAGCTTCAGACGACTAAAGGAGCTCTGAAGTAAAAAACAAATAAAGGTAAACTATTAATAAACCATTACTGTTTGAGAATTCTGTAAAAGACACCATAAACAAAGATTTTAAAAGCCACCAATTGAGGGAAAATGTATCTGCAATGCACGCTGCGGATAAAGAAATAGTAACCAAAATACTTAGAAAAAAAAAACTCCAAAATATCAATAGACAATTCACAGAAGACAAAACAAGGAAGCCAATAAACATGAAAAAATGTTCACCCTCACTGGTAACTGAAGAAATGCAAATTAAAATGAGATACTCTATATTCATAGATCAGAGGTTCTCAAAGTAAGATCTGAGGACCAATGGGGTTCCTAGAGGCCCTTTCAAGGGGTATGTGAGGCCAAAGGAGTCCTTCAGTGGTAGAGCAAATGGTTAACTTGCTTGGCCGCTAATCAAAAGATTAAAGGCTTGAGTTCACCCAGAGGTGCCTTGAAAGAAAGGCCTGGCGATCTACTTCCAAAGAATCAGCCATTGAAAACCCTGTGGAGCACAGTTCTACTATGATACACACGGGGTTGCCATGAATCAGAATCAATGTCACAAAAACTGGTACTGGTAAAAGCAAGCAATATTTGTCAGTAAATAGCTTCCCTGGAATGGAGAACTTTTCTAAATCTCCATCTCTCACTTGTTCCAAGGATATCTAAACCTTTTGTTTTCAGTCATCATCCCAGGAACATGTTAACATAGCAGATTACAGCTGATTTCCTTAAAAGCCACATGTACCCAGCAGATGATTCCCCAGTATTCCCACTCAGCCTCTCCCCTGCCTCTCAGCAGGACCCATTGATGCCCAGGCCGCACCTAGTCCAGAAAAAGGAAAAAGTATTATCCACCACCAGAGGGAACATCTGCACACAGTGGGCAGTCAACCACGCCTTCTGTTTAAAGAAAGTGTTCTTTTCAAAAAATTGAAAGTAGAATAATAAATCACAATTGCATGATGTTTTGAAGTATGTTATTTCTAATTCGTATATGGCACTCAAAATCATAAAATTATTGCTATGTTTATTAAAAAAAATTAAAAGTAATAAATTTTATCTTACCAGCAGTCCTTGTCGGTGAAACAGGACTGGGTTCCTGGATGCGTTCCTTTAATGCAATGGGCAGTTCTCTGTATACCTATCGTATCAGACCAAGCAGAAGAGAATACTATATAAATAAAGATGACATTTTTTAAAGTGTTATTCTAAATGATAGCTCTGCCTCTGTTATTCCCCTTAACACCTAAGCTTCTAGCTGGACAGTCTCATCTTTACTATCCTCTGCAATCTTGCTTGAGTCTTCCACTCCACTGACACTACTATCAAGAATGCCAACCAGTCCTTAGCTGACGTGGCCTCTCTGCAGCATTTAATACTGTCCACACTCCTTCCTTGACTTATGTTAACGTTACCCACTCTGGACTTCACTGCTACCTCTCTGACTCTTCTGCTAGGTGTCACTCACGAGCTCACTTTTCTCTGCCCATCAATCAAATATCAACATCCTAGAGGGGAGGATTTTGAGTCTTCTTAACCTTGACCCTGGACTCTTCCTGGGTCATGGTTTCTAACGGTTTCATTTACGATATGGAGTTTTGAGAGGCCAGTAACTCCCAAAAACATATCTTCAGTCTAGCTCTCTCTGTCAACTGGATATTCAGATATGTCCAAATCTGAATTCATTTCTGTGTTCCCTGACACCCCCTCTACAAACTTTTCTAAAGACTCCAGCCAATCTTTCTCTACTTATTCTTAGAATCACTCCATCCATCTCAACAGTACAGCTACAGCGGTCTTTTAAAAATTTAACTCTACCCTGCTTAAAGCCTACCAATGGCTGCCCACTGCCCTCAAGATATTGGGAGCACTGGTGGCGCAGTGGTTAAGAGCTATGGCTGCTAACCAAAAGGTTGGCATTTCGAATCCACCAGTCACTCCTTAGAAACCCTAAGAGGCAGTTCTACTCTGTTCTATAGGGTTGCTATGAGTCGGAATCAACTCGATGGCAATGGGTTTGGTTTTGTTGGTGAGCCCTTAAGATGATGACTTGTTCTCAAACTAGAATTCAAATTTTTTGTGATGTATAGTGAGGCCTTCAGGATCTGGTCTCCATGAGTCTTTCCACCTTTTACTTACCTCCAGGACCCAAAAACACCATGCTCATTCTCAGTCTCCTCCAGGCCCTTTCGTGTGCTGCTTCTCTTCCCTATAACACCCTTCCCTTCATTCTTCACCTGACCAATACTTAACCCATCCTTCATAAATTAGTTTGGCTTTCACATCCTCCAAAAAACCTCCCATGAGTACCCCTAAAGCCAGGTCCATGCTCCACCTTTAAGTTTCCATGGAATATCTCTATGTTATCATTGCTTGTCTGCTTGTCTCACCCACAATATGTTCTTTGGATGAAAAGCGGTGACATACTCTTTGCTGTATTCACAGTTCTTAAAATGGTGGCTGGCATAAAGTGAGTGTTTACTAAAAACCTATTAAGTGAGTGAATGAATGCATGAATTTTTGAAATAGCTTAGTATTTCCCAAAATGCATCTGTGGAAATTCTCCGCACAATAAACACTGCTTGGTCTTAGACATTCATAATTCACCTAAGTATATTAGAATTTATGCAAAGCCCTACAATAAAGGAAGCTTTGTCTTTGCCTAACATAATGTTCACAAATGGACCACCATGTCTTTTTCCAAAACAATACTCACTGGCATCCTTGGTGTAAAACATATATGTGTGCTCTGATTGAATACGGATAAACTGAGCTGGGCATTTTGAAATGGTGGTCAACATGTCTGTAAAGTAGTGTAAGGGAGAAAGCGTAGCACATGAAGTCAGACAGAAAACAGGAAGGTAGACCCTGAGGGGTCTCATAAGTCACAGTACCAACTTTAGCTTTTACTCTGAGATGGAAAACCGTTAGTGGGCTTTGATCAAAGAAGTTACTTGATCTGAATTGCGTTTTAGCAAAATCACTACGGCTGCTACGTTGAGAAGAGACTGACAAGGGCCAAAGGAGAAAGCAGGGAAGCCAGTCTGCAGGTCATTTCAATAATCAAGATAAGAAATGACAGCGGCTGAAGAAAACAAATTAGTGGCAATGGGGAGAGTGAGAAGGGGTCAAATTTATGAATATTTTCAAACCTAAGACAAGTTAAAAGAACTGTACTGGGAACATCCATACACAGCCTACCTTCTACAATTTTTAAATTGGACTCTATTTGCTTTATCATATATCTAACCATCTAGCCATCATCTATCAAACCATCTATGGAGTAGGTATATATTTTGAAGGAGGATTTGATGATGATGACTTCAAGGTTGCTGTTTTTTAATTGAGGTATCTAATCCACATATCATAAAACTGACTCCAAGTTTTTTTTTTACTTAAGTAGTTGTAAAGATATGATTTCCATTAACCAAGGTGGGAAAAGTACATTAAGGTGCAAGGAGGAGGTGGATATCAGGAACTCAATTTATATGTTAATTCCAGATGCCTATTAGACAAACAAGTAAAATGTGCCCATATTTGGATATACTTAAAGTAAAACAGCTACAAGATCCCATATCTTTGACAACAAGATCAATAACTACGAAATAGGTGTCACAGTAACACTGTATGCACACCTTATTCCATGTTGTATTTACAGTTCTTAAGCTTTCTGAAATTTTCTCTCTCTCCTGTAAGCTCAGACTCTTATCTGAAAGCATTTCCAATTCAGTTCTGTTCAGCCATTTGAGTTTATCAGCTTGTACTTCCATCTCCTGGGTTAAATCCTAAAGGGGTCAGAAGAGAGCTCTGGTTAGAAGGCTGTCATTCTGGAGAAAGTTCAAGAACTGTACCAGGAATCTCTGAAAAAGTATTCTATAAATGCAGACTTTTAATTTCTTAGATGGGAAATGAACTTATAAGAAGCCTGAACTCACATTAAAAAACTGATACACACAGAAGTGAACACACACATTCATTCAGAGTATGTGTTCATGTGCACGCGAACATAAACTCTGTTTCTCTCTCTCTCTCTGGACAGGGTCATACTAAATTATATTTACATTACTAATTTAACATTCCACTGTTAGATCATAAAAATTACATCTGCACTAATAAGACAAAAAAAAAAAAGCAGCATTTTATGATCTTATCTCCACTTTGCTACTACTCTTCTACGGTAGGATCCCACCCTTTGTAAATTGTCCAAATTGTTTGCAAAAGTGATGTGCCAAGAAAACTACCAAAAATTTTTAATAAAAACAAATTGGTTAGATATTTGTCACATTTTGAAAGGAAAACTTAGTAAATGTTCACCACATATTATTTTCACCATTATTAAACACCTGAAAACATTTATATGTCAGAATTTTAACTGTAATTTTAAATGTTTTTCTTAAGTCATCAATTTCTTAATGTATGTGTTACCGTAAAAATAATTCAAACAACCTTGAATTATTCAAAATAAAAAACTACCACTCGTCTGTCAGTTTGTCGTACTACGGTGGCTTGCATGCTGCTGTAATGCTCGAAGCTACTCCACAGCTATTTCAAATATCAGCAGGATTACCCCGATGGACAGATTTCAGCAGAGCTTTCAGACTAAGACAGACTAAGAGAAGAACCTGGCAATCTAATTCGAAAAAAAAATTGGCCAGTGCAAACTTAATGAATAGCAGTGGAACACTGATACAGTGCCAGAAGATGTGCCCCTCAGGTTGGAAGGCACCCAAAACAGGACTTCTCAAAGTGGAATCAACATTAATGACGTGGATGGAGTCAAGCTTTTGAGACCTTCATTTGCTGAGGTAGCACAACTAAAAATGAGAAGAAACAGCTGTAAACATCCATTAATAATTGGAACGTGGAATGTACAAAGTATGAATCTAGGAAAATTGGAAGTCATCAAAAGTGAAATGGAATAGCTAAAGATCAATATCCTAGGCATTAGTGAGCTGAAATGGACTCATTCTGGCCATTTTGAATGGGACAATCATACGGTCTACTATGGCAGGAATGACAAAATGAAGAGGAATGGCATCCCATTCATCATCAAAAACATTTCCAGATCTATCCTGAAGTACAATACTGTATGGAATAGGACAATATCCATACACCTACAGGAAAGACCAGTTAAAATGACTATTATTCAAATTTATGCAACAACCACTAATGGAAAAGATAAAAGAAATTGAAGATTTTCACCAAGGTCTTTAGTTTGAAATTGATCACCCATGCAATCAGGATGCATTGATAATTACTGATGATTAAAATGTGAAAGCTGGAAACAAAGAAAAAGGATTGGTAGTTGGAAAATGTGGGCTTGGAGACAGAAACAACTCCGAAGATTGCATGGCAGAATTTTGCAAGATCAACAAATTATTCATTGCACATATCTTTTTTCAAAAACGAAAACAGTGACTACACAAGTGGACCTTGCCAGATGGAATACACAGGAATCAAACTGACTACATCTATGGAAACAGATGATGTAGAAGCTCAGTATTATCAGCCAGAGGCAAACTGTGGAACAGACTATCAGTTGCTCATATGCAAGTTCAAGCTGAAACTGAAAAAAATTTAAACAAGCCAATGAAGTCAAAGTAGGACCCTGAATATATTCCACCTGCATTTAGACACCGTCTTTGTTGTTGTTGTTGTTGTTTATTGTTGTAGTTTAAATGAAGTTTACATTTCATGTTAGTCTCCCATACAAAAATTTATACGTACATTGTCATGTGACCGTAATTGCTCTCCCCATACTGTGACAGCACACTCCTCCTTTCCATCCCAGATTCCTCATGTCCATTCAACCAGCTCCTAGCTCTCTCTGCTTTCCCATCTCAACTCCAGACAGAAGCTGCCTGTTTAGTCTCTTGTATCTACTTGAGCTAAGAGGCACACTCCTCACGAGTTATCACTTTGTGTCCCACAGTCCAGTCCAATCCCTGTCTAAAGAGTTGGCCTCAGAAATTGTTTTAGTTATGTGCTGATAGAGAATCTGGGGGCCATGCTTTCCTGGGTTTCTCCAGTCTCAGTCAGACCATTAAGTTTGGTGTTCTTACTAGAATTTGAGTTCTGCACCCC